GGGCACCATCCTGCACAGGTGGAGCATGATGGACCCTCCAGGACCAGGACTGGACACCTGGGTTAGCAGCAGCTAAAACTCTGTTAGCCACCTCTTTGCTATGCATGCAACAGACAAGTGCATTCAATAATAAGTGACTTCACAAATAAATAGTGGCACTAACATGTTAGCGAAACTTCACCTGCACCTTCAGGTGAGCTAAAAACAAGCTCCTGTTAGCGCAGCTGCTAAAACTAGCTAGCTGTCTGATTAGATAACAGCAGAAGTATCAGCTCAAAATGTGTTTAAGTTATTTTCCACACACTAAACCATCAGAATATATACTGTCATTATAAATAATAAAACAATGAGTTCCGATTGGTAGAAACACTTATGARAAAAATGACTTTTGTTTTGTTTGTTTACGTTACGAAGGCTGCAGCCTCGCACATCCAGCAGCTCAAACTACTGAGGTCTCGTTCAAGTTAACAGTATTTAAACACGGTAGCATTACATCTACTATTATTTACAAGCTAAAACATATAAACAGAACGCTTTCGGGTAGTTACGCATGATCCCAAACCAAATGCCTGATAGTTAGCTAGCGTTAGCAGGCTAGGATGATAGGCGGGGTAGGCCAGTCCAGCCGGCTGGACGGGCTGCAGGCTGCTGCACGAAGGGGACAGAACTGTAGTGTGTAGCTGCTGACACTAACGCATACATGTTTCCGTCTAATGTGTACACTACTCACTCGGGTAAGTATGTAGAGGAGTAGGAGCTCCATTTAAAAACGCTGAAAGTGAGGATTCTGCTCTCAGGAACGGCAGCCATCTTGTCGGAAAAAGCAGGTCGCGAGCGCCGCTGATCGCGCTTAAAGAAACAGTGCGCCCGGACAGGGGCGTAGACAGGACCGGGGTGGGCCAAGAGGGGCACCACACACCACGTTTAAAAAAATAAATAAATAAATAAGGTCTCTACCTGTTTTAGTTTCTAAACAAGATCAAATGAATGGTGTTCAAGGTATATTGAAAATAGATGAAATTTCCTGAAAGCAGTTTTTTCATAAAAATTTCTGACCATGTCAGAAAATATTTAGTTAAAATGCCAAAAATGTTTGCACATAATTATGGAAATTTCTGAGTTTTTTTCTCGCAAATGCGAATCTTCCCGTGCGGGTGCCCCTTGGGGCTCGGGATCCCTCTCGGGCCCTTGGGCTCTGGTCTTCCCTATGTCTGCCTCGTGTCTTGGGGGTTGGGTCTCCGGTCCTCCACAGTCACTATTAAATATTCCATTGGAGAAATCTTGTATACACACGCATGTTCACAACTGCTGACAAACAGGTGTTCTGATCCGGAGGGTTCTGACTGGTCACTGAGTGTGTATTTATGTCTGTGTGTATATACTGACAATATTTATGAATGTAGGCATGTATGTATGTATATCTTTGTATACAGTATGTATGGGTATGTGTATATTTTTATATATGCCTTCTATGTATTTATCCATTTATTTTTCAGGTGAGTGGACAGATGTTGTGTGTGTGGTCCTGTGTTTTGTTGGTGTATATTTAATA